TAGACCCATTTCCCACTCAATTTGACCCCCCTAAACAAGAATATGAAGTCGGATTTTCGAAAAACGAAACGAATCTTTTTATATGCAGCTAAACAAGTTTTCGGAATCTTCCGAAGCTCATTTTTAAGAACTTTTTGGGTCAAATTCAAATATAATCATTTCATTAAGTTCTCGACTCTAAACTCACATGTGAGGCTCTAGTTTCACTCTATCATTTTCCGAGTCGTTACAACTCGGCACCAATATGATTAGATTTGGGTTATAGTAGACCGAATGATGAAATCGGCTCATTTCATCCCCGTCAAGGTTTCTTATGCGGTGAAAGACTATGCTAAGTTATATTTGAGGGAAATGGTAAGATTTCATGGTGTACCGTTGTCCATTATATCTGATAGAGGTACTTCGTTTACTTCTCAGTTTTGGAAATCATTCCAAAAAGGTCTTGGCATAAAAGTGAAGTTTAGCACGACTTTTCACCCACAACCTGATGGGCAGGCGGAGCAAACAATCCAAAATTTAGAGGATATATTGAGTTCATGTGTCATCGATTTCAAGGTAAGTTAGGATGATCACTTGCCATTGATAAAGTTTGCTTATAATAATAGCTACCATTCTAGTATTGGTATGGCCCCCTTTGAAGAACTTTATGGTAGGAGGTGTATATTTCCAATAGGGTGGTTTGACGTGGGTGAAGTTTCCTTAATTGGACACGAGCTAGTTCATGCGGCTATGGAAAAGGTCCAGCTTATTAGAGAGAGGTTGAGGACCTCCCTAAGCCGACAAAAGTCCTATGCCGATGTTAGTGATGAGTCCACAAATTGGACTCATTTAGGCCTATATTTTGATAGAATTAGCGTCCTCAAATGCATATTTAATCTAAATATCTAATGAAACCCCTTAAGTTTCAGGTATTTGGAGTTTGAGGCAAAGCATGGACACTACTTGTCAAAAAGGAACAATGTGGCTGATAAGAAAGAAGAAATGAAGGCATGAGGATCGCCGAGCCCAGTTGGCGAGTCGCTGATCGTCCTGGAGATCGCCTTTTGTTCTGGTGTGTTGAGCCCTGAAGGGAAAGATCAGGTTGGCGATGAAATGGAGCAGTCGGCGTGTTACCGAATAGTTCGGTGAAGTAGTACCATATCACCCAACGAATCAAAGCATGAAGATGCTGAAGGATAAACCAAGAAGGCGATGAAATCGACCAAAAGGTGCATCACCGAGTGTATCGGTGATCCAGACTAACTTCGCCGAGTGATCCGCTGCAGAACAAAATTTTCAAACACTATAAATAATTGTTTAAAAATCTAACTTAACATCATATCACTATTATTATTAGAACCTTTTTACAGTTTTTGAGAGAGTCTATGTTTTAGAGTGTTTTGGAGACTTCATTTTAAGACCTTGAAGATTCACAGTGTTTCAACTCCAAGAAATTGGACTTGGATCTTGAAGATTCTTCACTCTTGACGTGTTTTAAGACTTAATTCTTCATACCCAGTTGATGGAAACTAATATTGGTATTGATTTTTACCTCTTTTACATGTCTAGCTAAAACCCTAATTCTTGGGGGTGTGATTTTGTGAATATGGGTTAGATTATCTGTTGGGTCTTGCTTGTTGATGGTTTATTTGTTGTTTAAATGTGATTCCATTTAGTAGTTGTGTATGAACCTAATGGGATTGTAGTTGCAAATACGAATTCATCTTAGTATTTTTGTCTTACTCGAGAGAGAGGTCGTAAAACTAAGACTACTAAACTAATAGCCGGTGGTATTGGGTTGACATGGGTTTAGCTCGAGAGAGTGACCCTAGTCCTTTTCCCACACATTCATCTCGAGAGAGTGAATAGGCTAAGGCGTAGGGTGTGCTTAATGCGGCAAATCGGTGTTCGAGAGAAATCAAGTTGATTCGGAGTAAGTTGCTCGAGAGAGAATTTACCCCCACTATAGTCTAGCTTAGTCACAAAAACTGAACAATTTACTATCAAAAGCATGTACCCGATAATTTAGTCTATCCCGTATTCCAATCACATCCCAAGAATTCCATCTCTCTATCTCGTTTTCGTATAGTTTTGTTGTTTTTAGTTGTTAATTATTACAAAACTCCCCATTGATAATTGATGCTTGCGTCACCCCTCTAATTTACTATGTTTTTATTCTATAATGTTTTTAGCTATGACAAATTAGAACTAGATTTTATTTTTGTATTAAGTCTCAAAACCACTCCCTGTGGGAACCATTCTAACTCTTGGTTGGGTTATATCACTACAGGCGATCGTATGTCACTTGAAACGAACTAGTGTCAGTTGATTACGTCCTCAAAATATCAAAATGGTGACGTTGCTAGGGAGTGGTGTTCTTAGAGAATTTTTAGTTAAGTAGGATTTTCGTTCTCGTTAGTCATAGTTTACTAACTTTATTTTTAGTTTTATTTTTCTTTCTTTGAGTTGTTGGTATAGGCAGATACCCTGAGCATGGCTAAGGGAAATGGTGACAAATTGGTTGCGGCGAAGCAAGAGTTCGAGAGGGATTTCAAATTAACCGCACTCGTAACTCAGCTGAACGATTTGGCCACCAAAATATCAGAGGTGGAAGACCAGTGTAGAAGTAAAGGGAGGTACATAACCCCTCATGAGAGGAAAAGGTCTAGAGACAGGAAGAACAGTAGTGTCGAGGATACACTACAAATCATTCTCCAAAAGATCACTGAACAAGATTGAGTGCTAGAAGAGATGCAGGAGAAAATTGAAGTGTTAAATCAGATGATTGGCTCTCATTCTAGGTCTATCCAGCTGATCAAGACACTCATAAGTTATGCAGTGCCTCCTCTTCACTCAAATGAACTATTGGGGTTACCTAATAACACTAGGGCCAGCCCCAATGATGGAGAGTGAGGAAAAGACTTGCGTCGTGCCACAACGTTAACTAAGGCGCTATTTGAGAGGCAACCCAAAACCCTTTTTTTTCCTTTTTATTTGTGTTTTGTTAAAATAATGTTGTGTTGTTTTTACAGGTTGAAGTGTGGAAAGAGCTCGAAAAGGTGCAGGATGGTGAACAACAGGTCCAGGCGGCAAGGCGCCGAAGAGGTTGGTGAACTCGACCTAATCCGTTGTTTGACTCAAGACATCTTCAAATTGGAGTCTGTAAAACTCAGCGAACCAAGGGAAATTATTGGGGAATCGCCGACCATGTCGGCGATCCCGACGAAGACCGCCATTTGGACTCCCACAACAATTGGAGATCCTGTAAAATTCAACTAGCAAATTAACCACCCGTCGTGTCGCCGAATGGCTCGGCGAGCATGACTAAAGTCACCGAGTGGGCGAGAACTGGACAGTTTTTGTAGTCCAGAGGTTTAAAAGTTGAAAACTCGTTCACTTTCCCTCACTTTTTATCTGCCCAAACTCACACCTGCACTCTATTTTCAATATCCCTACACTTTTGGAGTATGATTTATGTTCGGGACTTGGTTTACATTGCTGCCTAGCAATTCAATTCCACTTTAGTTACCACAAAAGGTTGGTTCCCAAACTCTGAGTTCTTTCTATCAATTTTGTACTCATTGCAATGATATTACCTTGTTGATGTGTGTTAAGCCTCTCTGGTAGGACTAAATTTTTTGTTTGCATGTGAGAGTCACTAATCTTGCTCGTACCGAGTTAAATACTCAATTCCTAAAAGTTGTACCTTAAAGCAGATGAAAAATTGAGTGTTGTACATGAGTGTCATTGGGTCTAAGTCTAATTTGAGTTGTACATGCCTTGATTTTGTCTTTGGGGGTCGGGGCGTAGAATTCGGGAAATTGGGTTGAAAATAGGCACTTTGGGTAGGTCAGCTCGCCAAACCACTCGGCGTTTCGCCTAATGTCCCCATCTCACCTTTAATTTCATGCAAAATATGATGTTGGATTCTGTAACTTTCGGCGAGAGCCTGAGGTCATCGAACACACTCGGCGTCTTGCCAAATTACTTCTTGTTCACCCTTTGTATGCACCCTTGTATTCTCTGTGCACTGCACTCGGTGTATCGCCTAAGTGGGTGAATGGTTCAACAACTAGTTCGGCGGAGTTTTTCTTCAGCTGAACTTCTATTCTTTTTGTTGGGACATTTTCTAACTCTTTCTCATAGCTTTGCAGATATGGCTAGACCAGAAGTAGCTGGAAGAAATAGGCCACCCCGACAGGTAACAGCGAAAAATTTCAGGAAAGATACAAGTGAAGCGAATACTCCCAAGACAGGAAGTAAGGGCAAAAAGCCTAGTTCAAGCAAGAGATCTATCCCCCGAGATCCCATTGTCCCTTCGTGGATTCTACAAAGCTATACATTCCTTTTTGGTGGCACATGACTTGGACAATTTTAACAAGTCAGTTACCGCTGAACCTTCTGAAGTAGCTCCGGGACTATTATCCAAGTACAAGCTGACACATCGGGCACTGATGCCCAGACAGATGGAGCAACTGCTTAGACAGGATTCCCTCTTTACCCCCCCTCTCTGTCTTTGTTCTTTATTTTAAATTCTGGATATTATGTTAGTTGCATTTGAGGACAAATATTTTTAATTGTGGTGGGGTGTGGCCCACCTTTTTCTGCTTTATTTCTTGTTGGGTTGTGAATCATAATGTTGTGTTTTACACTGCTTTTTGTGGAATGTTTGAGCTTCTGGCTCCTTTTATTTTAATTGCAAATGATTTTGACCCTTTCGAAAAATTTTAAATTTTTGCCACCTCTTGTATGTACTTGATAGTGGTTGTTCTTTAGCAAATTTATGTCTCGGTTTTGATCAAAATCGATGACTTCAATAGTGCTCATAATTAAACAAACATGAATGTACGACTACGATGAGACCAAAAGAAGTTGCATAGACAATATTTGAACTCTTTGCATCTCATTATGATTAGCCATGTATCAAATTGATTCTCTTGCGATGAACATTGTACACTAGCGAAAGTGTGTAGTCTTGTTTGACTTTAGTGTCGATGCTTTGTGTGATGAGCTTACTGTGAACTTTGCATGATAAAACCTAGAATTTACCCCATTGGTACGGTTAACTAAGTAAGGCTATCTCTTGATATGATCTTAGGCAACTTCGAAGAGTGTGAGCCAATTTGACATATACCTCTTTTGTCGCCTACCTTGTGAGTGTGTGAACCTCTCTTGAATACCCCTTGAACCTTACCTTTATTTGGAAGAAACTTGATGACAACATGACCTTTCTTGACCTATTACCCTTAATCCTCATGAATTGTGGTTGATTGAATAGCCAATTTAGGCCAAAAGCCTAAGTTGGCGGTGTGGTGAAAAGAAAAGGGAAAGTCAAGAAGTGCAAAGAAAGTCTCCTTTAACTCATGGTATTGAGAAAAATGGAACCCCTCCATACAAAAAAGAGAGAAAAGAAAAAGAATGAAAAAGAAAAGTTGTGGAATAAAGTTGAAAAATACAAAAGAAATGGGGTTCCAGAACAATCCATGGAGAGTGAATAATAGGATGACTTACGAGCACTAAAGAAAATGATGAAAGGAGAGGAAAGGAAGAGTTGTGAGCACCACATTTCATGAGGATGAAAGTCACTGAGCCTGAATGACCATACCTTTGCACTCAGCCCCATTACAAGCTCTGTAAATACATTTTTTTATCTTAAGTGAGCTGAAACAAATGTCGACTGGAAAATACGGGTAAACCTATGGTTGAAAGCATGCATAATGTTCTTCTTTTTGAGAGACTGAGTGTTGCATTTGATTTCGAAGATTTAAATGATTAAACCTTTTTGTTTGAATATGGAATCATCCTTTGTGTGAGGGCATTCAAATACTTTTGTTGAGCTTGAGCTTGCATTTGAAGCAAGGATTGCCAGCTTGAGAATCTTTAGTAATGGTATGTCACAACTTGAATCTTTGGGTACACAATTGATCCTTGCATGAGTAAATTGAGTCTTGTTGTGTACATTCATCATCTAGTCTTGTGTAGCACTATTTGAGACATCCTTTTTGAACTGTTGAACTTGAGTTTTACTTGAGGACAAGCAAAAGTTGAAGTTGGGGTGTTGATTAGTCCACAAATTGGACTCATTTAGGGCTATATTTTGATAGAATTAGTGCCCTCAAATGCATATTTTGTCTCAATATCTTATGAAAATCCTTAAGTGTCAGGTATTTGTAGTTTGAGGCAAAGCATTGACACTACTTGGCAAACAGGAACAAGGCAGCTGAAAAGAAAGAAGAAATAAAGGCCTAAGGATCACTGAGCCCAGTTGGCGAGTCGCCGATCGGCCTGGAGATTGCCTTTTATTCCAGTGTGCTGAGCCTGGAAGGGAATGATCAAGTTGGCGATGAAATGGAGCAGTCTGCATGTTGCCGAGTAGTTCCACGAAGCAGTACCATATCGCCCGACGACTCAAAGTGCGAGGAGGCTGAAGGCAAAAGCAAGAAGGTGATGAAATCGACCAAAAGGCGGATCGCTAAGTGTATCGGCGATCCTGACTAACTGCACCGAGTGATCCGCTGCAGCACAAATTTTAAAACACTATAAATACTTGTTTAAATTCTAGCTTAACATCATATCACTATTATTATTAGAACTTTTTACAGTTTTTGAAAGAGTCTAAGTTTTAGAGGGTTTCGAGACTTTGTTCTAAGACCTTGAAGATTCAAAGGGTTTCAACTCCAAGAAATTGGACTTGGGTCTTGAAGATTCTTCACTCTTGACGTGTTTTAAGACTTAATTCTTCATATCCAGTTGATGGAAACTAATATTGGTATTGATTTTTACCTCTTTTACACTTCTAGCTAAAACCCCAATTCTTGGGGTGTGATGATGTGAATATGGGTTAGATTATCTGTTGGGTCTTGCTTGTTGATGGTTTATTTGTTGTTTAAATGTGATTTCGTTTAGTAGTTGTGTATGAACTTAATGGGATTGTAGTTGCAAATACGATTTCATCTTAGTGTTTTTGGCTTGCTAGAAAGAGAGGTCGTAAAACTAAGACTACTAAACTGATAGCCGGTGGTATTGGGTCGACATGGGTTCAGCCCGAGAGAGAGAAACCTAGTCCTTTTCCCACACATTCAGCTCGAGAGAGTGAATGGGCTAAGCCGGAGGTTGTGCCTAATGCGACAACTCGGTGTTCGAGAGAAACCTAGTTGATCAGGGGTAAGTTGCTCGAGAGAGAATTTACCCCCACTATAGTCTAGCCTAGTAACAAATACTCAACAATTTACTATCAAAAGCATGTACCCGATAATTTAGTCTATCCTTTATTCCTATCACCTCCCAAGAATCCCGTCTCTCTATCTCATTTTCGTATAGTTTTGTTGTTTTTAGTTGGTAATTACTACAAAACCCTCTATTGATAATTGACGCTTGCATCACCCCTTTGATTTAGTATGTTTTTAGCTATGACTAATTAGAACTAGATTTCATTTTTCTATTAATTCTCAAAACCGCTCCCTGTGGGAACGATCCTAACCCTTCGTTGGGATATATCACTACACGCGATCGTATGGCACTTGAACCGTACTAGTGTCAGTTGATTACATCCTTAAAACATCAGTTAGAAGAAGAGACCTTGAGTTTGAGGTTAGTAATTGGGTCTTTTTGAAAATCTCACCCATGAAAGGTGTGATGAGACTTTGGATGAAAGGAAAACTTAGTCCACGATTATAGGCCCATATCAAATCTTAAGACGTGTTGGTAAGGTTTCTTATGAGTTATATATTCCAAATGAGTTGGCAACCGTGCATCCCTTTTTCAAAGTCTCTATGCTTAAGAAGTGTGTTGGAGATCTGACATCCATAGATTCCCTTTAAGGATTGGGAGTTGATGAGAGTCTTTCATATGAGAATGTTCCGGTTGAGATTTTGGACCGATAAGTTACGCAATTGAGGAACAAGGAAGTTTCTTCGGTGAAGGTTTTATGGAGAAACCACTTAGTTGAGGGTGCTACTTGGGAGGCCAAGGACGTTATGAAGTCCCGATATCCTCAACTTTTTCCTTCTACTCTAGCTTGAGGAAATGACTTTCCTCTTTGTTTGTTTTATGCTTAAAAGTCATGTGTCATTTATGTGTTTCCATGATCTCTTTATGTCCATGTTAATGAAATAGCTTGAGTTTTGAAAGAAATGACTTATGTGAATGATTTTCCTCATGTTGTAGTGGATTGAGTATGAGTTCCCTAAGATGAGTTGATGAACATGTTTGGATATGATTTTTTAGATTGAATTGCATATGAGCTCCATGAGATTGTGTTGAGCATGCTTTTATTGTTG